GTGACCCCCCCCCTCTGGAGCTGGGAGCCTGGAGGCGCCTGTGCCAAAGAGCGTGGCCCATTGTCGCCCCTCCCCCTTTCTAACTGCCAGAGACACTGAGGCAAAGGAAGCTACTTGGTTGCCCAAAGGCTCGAGAGGGAGTAGGCCCCGGGGCCACCCTGGCTGGGCTGTCAGCCATCGCCCCTCCCGTCTGCCACCTCCTTGGCACCTGCAAACGCTGGCACATTCCATGGGGAATCAGCCCTACAGAGTCTTCATAACCTCTGGTTTTTGGCTAGCTCCATTATTGGTACCCTGGAGCAATGTTCCCTCTAATCTTTTCCATCCATGTGCAGAATAATTTTTGTGTGTGTGCACAAAGGCATGTTAATCATCTGGGTGGCATTTGAATTGCAGCAAGGCCACACAAGCACACAGCTTAAAGGGAACACTGCTTGATGGTCCAGGCCTGCTTTTTACAGGTCTTGAAAATATGTAACACAAATATAAGCTCATAGGAAATGTATGTGCTTAGCACTGATAAAAAGCCCTAGTATGTGTAAAGTTGATTACCCTAAAACAGAGACTCACGAAATAGGCCCCCGTCCTGTGATTGGCACTCCATGAATAGGTGCCTGCATAGTGCCAGTTGCAGGACTGGGCCATGGAGGCAACTTTTAAAAGTGTAGCCTTAAATGACTGCTGAAGGTTGCTGGATGGTGCAATAAGTAATGCGCTGTTTTATTTCTGTGACAAAATAGTTTTGTATAGGCAAAAATAAACCTGAACAACTGTTTTTAAAGTAGAAATATTTATTAAAGGTATCCAGAATTATTTTCAAAATCTTACAAAATTACATTGAGAAATCGTTTTATAAAATAATTCAGTATTTTCTTCACTGTCTGAAACAAAGTAGTGTGCCTATGATTGCCAAGAACAAGTATGTTTACATCAAAGAAAAGAACATCACTAGCAGTGGTGAAATGTAGTGTCATGCTACACACTGTAGTTGTTCACAGGAACACATTGTATGAACATCAACTACGTTCTCCAAATCCTCTGCCTTGTCTAACCTTATCTGGTCTTCATCAAAGTTGGCTGTGGAGTCTGAAAGGAAAATTGGGGGGAGAAAAATGATGTGAAAATTATTTGCAAACATTTTAGGATTTGAAATGCTAATTCAGATAAATTATCCACAATTACACTGTATACAGTTTCATAATCTGCATTTTGATTAATTGAAGAGTAAAGAAAACATCTCAAAACCACAGGCCAAAGCAATATAAAAAAAGTTGTAGGAACCAGTCTTTATGCAGGTACAACTCTCACTGAATTCAATGAGGCCCCATCCTCTCTCCTTTGTTTTGAAGATTTTTAGTAAGTTCTTTGAAGATCATGAATAATGATGTCACAGGAGGCTGTAGCCTGAACTGGTGTACTTCATCCCATAGTTGGTGGGTAGGAGATGCTAAGTCTTCATAGAGTCTAACAATCAGAAATACATGACACCCCCTGAAAAGGTATGTAGTTTTTGTAACTTACCAGCTGGCACGCAATGGAAGCCAACAGAGACAGAAGCAGTTCTGATTGCAGAACATCCTTTCACACAACGCAAAACTGGCTCCACTGAATAGCATTTTGAGGCCACTTTTTCAAAACCAACTGGCTTCTCAATTTTGATGAGTGTGCGCTGCAGCTTACAATCTACAGGAAGTCAAATCATTATTAGCTTTTAAAATATAGAAAATATTTAAAAATAGTATATACATTTCCCCAGCTACAACTGAGTATTACATAGATGATTCAGTGATTGATCAAAGTAGATCAGTGATAAAAGAAAAGAGAATCAGGCACTAAATCCTGCTTTGAAGAATGCCAATAGGACAATAACTGTATGGCTGCGTCTAGACTGGCATCATTTTGCGCAAATACTTTTAACGGAAAACCTTTTCCGTTAAAAGTTTTTGCGCAAGAGAGCGTCTATACTGGCATATGCCTTTGCGCAAAAGATTTGCTTTTGCGCAAAAGCATCCGTGCCAGTGTAGACGCTCTCTTGTGCAAGAAAGCTCCGATGGCCATTTTAGCCATCGGGCTTTCTTGCGCAAGAAAGCCCGATGGCTAAAATGGCCATCGGAGCTTTCTTGCACAAGAGAGCGTCTACACTGGCACAGATGCTTTTGCGCAAAAGCAAATCTTTTGCGCAAAGGCATATGCCAGTATAGACGCTCTCTTGCGCAAATACTTTTAACGGAAAACCTTTTCCGTTAAAAGTATTTGCGCAAAATGATGCCAGTCTAGACGCAGCCTATGTGTGTAACAAGAGGTATCCTGCAGTCACAGAGCAAGACAGCTCAGGGCAGGTGTTGTTATTTATAGGGTAAGGTTGCTCCTTTGCGCAAGTGTCCTGCACATGCCTGACCTGCTTCTGGCATCATAACCTGACTACATTCTGTTCAAATTGAGGCAAATTACATTCCTTTTTTTCCATGTCACAGCCCCTTTGGCCATTCTGACTTCTTACAATAAAAGCTGTGTTATCCAGCCCTGTACCAGCTGGAGAGCACTATAAAGTGGTATTTCCAATCTTCATAGAAAGTCCAGTTTAGAGTTCGGTTGACATGGGACTGGTAGGCTTCTGACCTAGCTTTGGATGGCTCCTCAGAAGCAATGATATGTCTGTTGCTCCTAGGTGGAGGAACAGCAATGAGAGGTTCAGTGCGAGAGAGGGTATGAGTTTGGGGTGTGGAGGGGATGCAGGGCATGGACTCTGGGAGGGAGTTTGGGTGCAGGAGGAGATTCAGAACAGGAGGCTGGGGTCTGGGAGGCATTTTGGGGTGTTTGATCTAAGGGCCACTCACCACAGGTAGCTCTCCACAAGTAGTAATGTGTCTATGCTGTCCTAGATGGATGTGAGGCTAAGCGACTGTGTATTGCCTCTGCCTGTAGATGCAGCCAATGGGAGCGGCAGAGCCAGCGTTCGGGGGGGGAGGCAGGAGCACTTTACTGTAATATTATTGAGCACATATACATCCCTCTAGTAGTAGCACAATACAAACTAACTTGGTTTCTCAGTGCAACAACACAAGACCGTGCAATGAACTACTAATCTCAAGAAAATGTACTTTCTTTTATTTCACTTCAGAGGGGTAGCTAAGTTAGTCTGTAACTGGAAAAATGTAAAAAACAATGAATAGTCTTGCAGAAGAAGTCTGAAGAAGAAGTGAGTTGTGCCCACGAAAGGTCATGATACCATCTACATGTTTTTTAGTCTTTAAGTTGCTGTAAGACTCAATTGTTTTTTAAGTTTTTCTTTTATTTGTGAGCACCAATCACTTTAATGGTGAAAAGCTTGCACTAACAGCAGATTGGCAGGTGCAGATTGTACCTCCCTGGTCCAGCACCCTTGGGACCTGATGCGTCCTGAACAAGGGGATATGCTGGACTGGGGAGGTCCCTCCCCTAATGGGGCCCCGCTGAAGCACTGTCCCCCAGCTAGGGCTCCAACCCAGCCCTGCTGCTGCCTGGCTGGCTGTGGTGAAAGCTACCTGGCCGCTGCTGGGTCCGGTGCACCGAGGCCAGAGCAAGGGCTTCACAGCCAGGGCCCCACACTCAGGGCCAGGGTTCTGTGGCTGAGTCAGGCTGCCTGGCCACTGCAGGCTGAGGACAAAGCTCCATGGCTGCTGACTGGCTGATGGGGCCAGAAGTCCCCACTGCACCATTTTCCCCCTCCTTGACACAGGGCTCTCGGCTGAGTCGCCAGCTCCCCAGCAGCACTCCTACCCCATGGCTAACCTCCCTACTCCTGGGCTCTGTGGCCCAAGAACAGTTGCTGGACCAGAAAGTCCCGAGTAAGAGAGCTACAACTTGTACTCTGTTATTCACCTCTACTTGAATCCAGTATAGGACATATATCTATATAAATAATGTAGCTATTCACTTGTTACTCATGGTAATAGCACTAATATATTTAGATTCTTCATACCTCCAGCACAAGGCTCTTCTGAAAATATCCAGGAATGAGCAAAGCTCTCTGTATCTTTAGCTACATATCCACTAGGCATTTGATATTTCTGTTTACTCTCACCATCAAATTTTCCGCAAATACCACATGTTTTTCCAGCCATCCAGAAACCAACTTGAATCTTCATGAAAACAAACCAAAGGTAAGCTTAAGTATTTATTATAAAAATGAAAACACTAGCAGTGAAGGGAAAAAACCTACTGTACCTTAAATGTATGTCCATCATAATAAAGTTTGTCTATGCCATACTCGGGGGCTTTTACTGACAAACCTTTCTTCTCACTGCTGATCAGCATATATGCATCTGCAACATAACAGCAAAAAAAGGTTACTCTTTTAGAGCTTGATCCAACTTTTAAATAAAAGTCATGCATTAATTTCAATGGCATTTGGATCAGGCTCTTAATTGGGCAAGTTCCTAAGACAGCGGTGGGTGGTGTTCAAACTCTAGAAGAGAGAAGGAGCAGATTTTCTAAGTTCTGATTTTCAAAGTTCTGAAAGTGCTGGGAGCAAAGGGGAGGAGTAGGAAGTGCAGGGCTCTGGTGCCCCAGAGCACAAGAGGCACTTGGGGGTGAACATACGGGGGCTGCAGGTGGAACCCCAGTGGGCTGTGGGCTGCTGCGGCCCATTGCGGTGACAGAGAGCCACTCATGCAGCCCGCTCCCTATTCTTGGTTGCCCATCGCTACCCTAAGACCTCAATCCTTATAATCCGATTTGCTAATGAAGACCTCAGCTCATGTACAAAGCCCCAGTGAAGAAAAGGTGCCAAATTAGGCTCTGATACTACAAGCAGGTCCAATGAGGGTCTTTGCCAGGAGACATAATCGCAGGATCAGGGCATAACACTGTAATAATTATATCTTAAATCAATTTGAGAGTAACTGCTTTATAGAATATACACTGAATTCTGTCAAACTGTGCAATTCCTATCATGCCAACAATTTCTTGTGGAAAGGAATGGCATGTTGTAACATTGTTCTTGTGGCTGCATTACACAGAAAGATGCTTATTTTTTAATGTAATTTGCAGAAAATCATATTTTAAACATCAATACAATCCATTGTAACTGTTTAAGTGAGCCATTATGTCCTTCAAAAAACACAGCCAAATTAGAAAAAAATGAATATTAGAAACTACCATTAAAAATATGTGATCAGATTGTGCCGATTACCTGAGTTCCAGACATGCAGAAAATTAATGACTTTGGCAGTCCCAGAGACACTTGACAACACCTCCCTGCCCCACATACTGGCCACTATGGCTATGTCCACATTGTACTGAAGTTCAAAATAAGATACACAATTTGAGCTACGTAAATTGCATTTCTTATTTCAATCTTACTTTGAAATAGATTATTTCGTAATTTGGCACTGTCTACACAGCACCAAATTTCAAAATAACTCACTATTCTGAAATGTCCCTTACTCCTCAGAATGAGGTTTACAGGAATGGCAGAATAGTGAGCCCAAAATAACAGGCTTGCTGTTAAGATGCAAGATAGCTATTTTGGGATACTTCAGAATCCTGAAATAATGTTGCAGTGTAGATGTAGCCTACTTTAGCCAAGATACTGCAGTACTGTCACTGCTGCAATTACATTACTCCATTTGTCCATAGGGCTTGGATAATTTTTTAGATAAACCATTTTTGGCAAAACATTCAGACTTGGCTTCACCAAAACATTTAACAAATACATGTCAGTTTTGCAAACTGTTTTGGTCAGAAAACCCCTCCTCACACCAAAAAAAAAAAAAAAAAAAAATCGTAACATTCGTTTTCAACATTTTCAAAGTGAAAAGTTTTGTTTAAATGGGTTTTTGTAAAAATTTTTACAAATGCTTGAATCCTTTATATTTTGGTTTGAATGAAATGTTTTATTTTGCCCAAATGACAATTTTGAGGGTTTTTTTTTAGTTGCTAAGCAAAAGGAACCATTTTATCTGTACAACTCTTGGCACAAGCTTATGTAGATCCAGTGTCCCTGTTCTTTGCCCATCTTTTTTGCTGCCCTTTACAACAGCTAACATGGAGACAGTGCAAATGTGGCATGCAGAGGCTGCACAGGCTAATCATGGTCTGTCTGTCCCCCACTCTACCAGGAAGGCAATTCTTAAGTAGTGCTGGGGGACTTAATGTGGCTTGCCAGAACACAGTGAATTTTAACCTAAGAGAAGTCTGCAGAACCATGCTCATAAAATATTATTTCCCAGCCATGAATCTGATAATACTGTTGGGTTTTATTTCAAATACTGCTGCAACATTTATGGGGCTAATCTGACTAGTGTGGTTCTCACTCTTTCTTCTTCAAGTATATAGCAGGAACGATTAATGCAATATAAACATATGCTGTGTCACTTACCAGAATTAGATGTGTATGGGAGATTCTCTGCTGGGGTTTGAACACCATTGATCATCAGCTGGATGAGTCCATTTTCAGGATACATGTCAATCTCACTTTAAAAACAGGGAAAAAATGAGTTAATGAAGAGAATGCTTTTCTTTTGGGCTACTTTACTCACAATTTGTGAACACTGTACCTCTGACCCTGCAAGGTCCTGATTTTACTTACCACCCTAAAGTGACCCATTCCAGCATTCTGCTGGAGCTAAAAAATAAACTCCTAGAATAATTAAAGTGATTTGATGATGTTCCACATTCCACAGAAGAATTGGGTTCTCTGTTGCAAAATTATAATATCTCTGATTATCAGACAATAATGTATATTGTAGTATTTTCCCCTGAAATGATATGTCTTAACATTATATTTAGACATTACATTTACCATGAACAGCTTCGTTTCCAAAAATATTTTAGAAATCATGTCACACTACTGATAATAGTTTAAATAAAATTTTGAATAAGAATTGCAAAATAAAAGATCATGCTGTGTCCGTATTAAATTATCACTCACAGATGAAAATGATCAGTAAAAATGAAGATGCACTTATTTTTTCAGATGTTAACAAATGAGTTCACCATCCCTGAAAGGTATTAGCCTGTCTGAATTCTAGGCAGTAGTAGGCAGAGCCCACCAAACTAAAGGTTCCCCCTATCAGGTGAGAAAAGGACCACAAGACACAGAAAATACATGAATACTTTGGGACTTGGAAGTTCAGGTCAAAGATATAAAATGTGGGCACTATATGGAGACAGCAAGCAGAGAACCTTGGACAGCACCCACTGCTCTGCAACTGAGTACAAGGAGTCAGTGAATGCTGTCCAAAGGAACTCCTCCAGGATGCCTGAAATAACCAGGAAATGGAAAAAGGCTCCACAGTTTCAGAGAACCTCCCTAATGCAAAAGGTGCTAGACCAACAACTTCAGAGCTTGCAACCTTTTATTTTGCCATAAACACACTGCAAACTTTCCCATGCAGCCCCAACTTACATTCAACAAAAAGAGACCACCTACATTTCAAGGAAAAAAAAGGACAACTCTCCCATATTGCTTTTTGTTGTACACCACTATTCAGACATTATAATAGCAAACTTTTCTATTACAGTGTACAACTCTGCACAGTTGCTGCAGCAGTACAAAACAGTGGGTGTCCTAAATTGACTTGATAATGGATGTGGAACATTAGGCCCCAAAAGGGATCTCCTCTAAAATGAAAGTGTCATTTAGTTTCCATCTACTGTCAATCCTTGTCCTATCTGCTGAGATTGCCAAGCAGGATGCTAACTTGTATAACGGCAATACTTGTCACCCATCCCTAAGAACTGGGCTGAGACAACCAACTCATTTCACATAATTTAATGAACAGCTGCCAACATTTTTAGTTAGTACAAACCTGAGTTGCATTTTAAAAAGTGACCTGCAGGACAGGTGTAAAGTTCTGGGTGTTTATCCATTGACTTCAATTGTAATTGGATGAGCCCTACACCATTACTAATCCCCATTAATCCTCCAGTCCTCAGATTTCCTTAATCATTTTAGCATCTAATTGCCACATTCTCTGGAATTACTTACTGATTGGCAAGTTTGATATTGATTGCTTTAAGATCAGTAGACTCGTCCACTTTCTTCATCATCACCAGGAATTTCAATTCTGGGCTACAATCTTGCGCCAAGACATGGTAGCAGTTTGCAGGCATTGAGTAGTTAAATTCAACTTCATTGAAGGTTGTGATCATATTTTGGGAGACTGAACAATGACCTGGGGGAAAAAAAGCCCATCATTAATGAGCTTTTTTCCATTTTCAGTATTCTAATACAGCAATTGGAAAAAAAAGCCCATCATTAATGAGCTTTTTTCTATTTTCGGTATTCTAATATAGCAATTGTTATTTTTTTTAATTTCTAGGTCAGTTTCTGCTCTTGTCAATACCAGCATAAATTCAAAGTAACTTCATTGCACTGAATGGTTTCATATTGGCTCAGGTGTGAGAGCAGTATTTGGTATTTGCTCAGCACCTGAATGAGCAAAAATATGACCAATACAAACAGCTTGAGATAAATTCTGCTCTTACTTCCTCTGATGCAATCCTCTATATTTGGCCTTTATGAGATGTAAATGATAGCAGAATTTATCCCACTTTGTTAATAAAAATTACCATATCATTGACTTTGGAGGAGTAGCACCAGAAGATGGAATTTCATGATAGACTATTGACAATTTACATGGGTTTATCGATTAAAAAATATAAAACAAAATGCACAGAATATCAGAATTCTCCCCACTCCACTTTTTACTGAAATGTCATTATCAGAAATTTTCCTATAATCAGCTTTGATTTCAATAAAGCTGTATCATGGGAATTTGTCCCAGTGGGTTTACACTAGCGTAATTGACTCCTATGCTTTCTTATTAAAATTTTGTAACAAATGTAGAGGCCAATTCTGCAGTCTTCCACACTGGGACAAATTCAACTATGATACAAATTTACTGACTTTAGATGAATTGTGCCCACTTACACCAGAATATAATTTACACCAGAATATAATTTACCCCTTTCGTTGAAATTTTAGCCGAGAAAGAATCACACAACTGGCTCCTTAATACTTCATTATTGAAAAGATAAACCATTAAAAACACAACAAAAGCAGGTGAAATTATAGCCAAGATTTGCAAAAGTGATTTCGGGGGCCTTTTAAGGAAGCTAAAGCTGGTTGCCCAAACACTGAGGCAATCAAAATGACTGGTCACTTGAAAATCTTAGTCATAAATTACGATCTAATTTTATCTAAGATTCTAAAAAGATACAGGCAGTCCCCGGGTTACGTACAAGATAGGGACTGTAGGTTTGTTCTTAAGTTGAATCTGTATGTAAGTCGGAACTGGCGTCCAGATTCAGCCGCTGCTGAAACT